CGCTATGAGTCACAAACGACTCGACGGCACATAACAACGACAACAACAGTGTTGCGTCTACATTTGGAAGGATACACTCCACACCAGTGTAACTCGCATTTGTTGTACTGGGGTGGCTGTTTATTGCTATGGTCTGGAGAGTTCTTCACAGGCACAGGACTATCTTAGAGATACTGTAGGCTTTGTTCCAGACAATCACAATAAAGTGAGTGACAAGGTTTTTGCAGGTCCCACAGCCTCACTGATTAGCTGAATGCTGCTATAGGGCTGTGGTCCTAAAAATCTGTATTTTACAGGCCTCTGTGATTTTAAAGTGACTGCTTTATCTCAGAAGCTCTGGGAATGTTCCAAGCTTCAAAATTGGAATTAGATGGCAGCTTTGCCTGAACCAGAGTTCTTGGATGGGATGGAAAGTTAATATGCTTGACTGACGACTGAAATATTGGATGTTCGAATTCACCCAGATGTATCTTAGAAGAAAGACTTTGTGATCTACTCCCAAAAAAGTAGCGCTTGAAAACCCTTTGCATTCTGGCCCATGTGGGGGCACTGTGAGTCAGTGGCAGCTGATTTCCCCCTGCTTTTGGCATTGGGCTGAGTGATGCTCAAGTAGATAGATATTACCATATTCAGTTATTAACAAACTAGGACTACTACAAGAACATACAGGTTCATCCTGGAGAGGGTGAAACCAGGCTGCTCCTTGGAGGCAAGGACTCTGAAGGGCTGTCTGACATACTTTCAAAGAGGGACCAGTCCTTGGAGAGGGACATTTTGCTTGGGAGGGTGGAGGGACAGCACGGTAGAGAAAAACCTACGGTGAGACGGATTGATTCAGTGACTGGGGTAATGGGAGTGGGTGTGTTGGAGACAGTGAGATTGGCTCAGAATAGAACAGGGTTCAGAGCTGTTGTACATAGGGTCGCTATCTTGTAAATAAACTAGTATTAAAAAAACAAAACCAAACCAAGCCAAACCCCAAACAACTGTAAAAGCAGCCATTGACTGTGGAACACCTGTGACTTGTACAGACACACCATGGGAGAGAGTTGATTGGACAGCTGCTGGTTCATTGAGCGATCTTGTATTAGAGGAAACGGAAGCTTTCAAGCAGAGACCTAGAAATTGAGCAGGATTGTTTTAAGAATGGAGACTTAAGACTCAGCTCACCCTAATTTGTTCATCTGGTGAAGACCTCCTCTCAACTTGACATTCCCACGGAGACGGGGACGGAGTTGGACATGGACCTTCCGCAGAGGTCTCAGCAGAGCATAGCAAGAAGAACGCCTGGAATAACTGAGTTCAGTGTGCCGAAGACGACGCCATAGATTCATTGACAAGCAACGCAGCCCATGAGTTAAAATTCAAAATCGTGTGTTTTATGACACCAGCTATTGGCTAAAGGGAACAGGCGGAGAGACAGTAGTGAGAACTCTCCTGGTCTCCAGGTTTGTAGGTCATCTGCGTTTGAGAAGACAAGAGTCCCAGGCTGCCTTTGGCTCCTGGTAGAGCGGCAGACTCAGTGTCGTGAGACTCAGGTGAGTAGGAATCAGCCCCTGCCTGCTCACCAGGGCTCTCCAGCAACCTGAGATGATGTAATGATGGGTCAGGGATACATTTGTCTTGAGATGTAATCCCAGGACATCCGAGGTCCAAAGGATGAAGTTTTAAAGGAATCTTTCTCATCTCTGGGTATCCAACATGGACAAATCCCTCTCAGGAGTGACTTTTCCTAGGTAGACATGGGGTGACAGAAATGAAGATCTGTATGCGTTGGGATAATTGGCCAGGACATAAAGGAAGCCTCCCATGGTTCCCACGGCAGTAGAAGTATCTTCAAGAGAGCAGCCATCTGGGGAGAGAGAATGTGCCTTTTAGAAAGTGCTGGAGGATGAAACTTGCTTGGCCTTTTAGCAAATACCTTTCTTTTTGTATGACTAGCTCAATGATTGCGCAGCCAGCTTCTGGGGACTGTGTAAATTCCACTGGCTCTCAAAGGTTCGCTTTTCTGATCTTTCAGTCTTGGCTGCTGGACCCTCCTCCTCGTGAGAGTCTTCAGCCTGAACAGTCTGTTTTCTTGGGGAGAATGTGCTCCTTCTGCCCTGTGTGAAGTTAACCTGCACACATGTGGAACACAGAGCAGTCTCTATACCCCTAACACCCTGCATCCTTTCTTCAGCTAACCCCAGAACAAGTAGCCCATAGCCCAGCCCCTCTCTCTCATCCTGCCACAAGCCAGGGCAAGACCACCACTCACTAGACTTCCCAAAGCATCCTTCTTCAGGGTTCTGCCAGTTGAGAATGGCCTCCAGCCAGGAGAGTTTGTAGAAGTCAGAAAATCCACAAATTCCACAGAACATTACTGCAAGCAAAGACAGGGGAGCCTCTGGAGAGCTGTATGTTAGGCGCATACACCCCTCCTCCCCTGAGCCCAATGAATAACCTCCTCTCACAAAGGTCAGGCTGCCCACTGGGTGCCAGCCAGCACACTGCCTGGAAGAGACATCCCAGGTCTCTGCCTTGGGGACAAGGGGCTCCTGGATTTGTGATCTGCGTCCTGCCTAGACACCAGGACAAAGCCATTTAAGATTTGGGTTGAGTAAAAGGGTTTAAATACTCAATCCATGTATTTATAAATATCACTAATAGTGCATGGGGCATACGTATTCTAAACAGATAGATTTTTTTAATTTATCTGTTTATCTGAAATAACAGTTCAGCTGAGTGTTAAACTCAAGGTTTCCCCATCATTCCATTCCTAATGCTTTCTGAGTCATCTGTGGGTCTGGTTGGTGAATCTGTCCAGGTCTTGTACACTTGATTTTTTTGGGGGGGGCATCAGTCACAGTTTTGGGGAATGCTGCATCTGAATTAAGGTTTCCAGATAAAATATAGGATATTCAGTAACACTGTCATTTCAGATAAACAGCCTATCACTTGTAGTTAGAGGGAAAAAGCAAAAGCCATGATACAGAATCTGTGTAATGCAGAAACTTGTCAGAGGAGCAAAGCACAGATATTTTCCACTAAAAATGCCTAGAAGAGTGGTAGGATTCACCCTGCTAATGGCAGGAAACTTGTGAGAAGAGGCAAAACAAGGCAGTGAATAGATCACATTCAGTTTTTAGAGTGTACTTATACCAGAAAAAAAATAGTGTTTATCTGAAGCTCTAATGCAACTTGTGTTTTCACTGGCATGCAGAATCTCTGTGTCTGGGTGCATACATGTGCTTGTGTGTGCGTGTGTACAGTTGCTGTTTGTGGCCACGTGTATATATATGAGGGTGCCTTCATTGTATGTGTACACACATGTAAGTGCATGCTTGTGTGTGTACACATTTCTCTGCACGTGTGTGTTCTCATATGCATGTAGGCACGCGGCTTTATCAGGTCGACCCCTCTTCTCTGCCCCCCTGAGAAGAATGAAGGACACACTGTTTTGCATGAAGAGTTTCCGCATAAGGTAGTTGTATCCTGAGGCCTCAATCCCCTCATTAAGGTCCATCATGTTGGCACAGAAGAAGTCAATATAAAGCTGGGTTTGGCTGAACAGCCCCTCTGTGCATCCAACCTGGGGGACAAAGAACCAGAGACAAGGAAGTCACTTCCAAGGACACACAGAAGCACTGAAACTGGTTACAGGGAAGGAACTATGTTCAGAAGTGATTGGGCACCTAGCTGCATTTTTGGCAGGCCTTCTCCCTTTTCTCGAGATTTCCTCTAACCACATCTCCCAGTTCATTTGGCCTCTGTCACTGTGGAATTGCTCTAAGTCAGAGAAAAAGCTGCATTGGAGCCTTAATGAGCTGAGTTAATCATTCTGTCATGGGCTTGGCATCTTTAAAAGCTGATGCCACTGGGAGATAAACTAAAGGATATTTCTTGGTAGGTGAATGAAATATTGTCCAGGAGATGCCCAACAACATGTGCTAAAACTCCTAGATGCTTTACTATGTTCTGACTCATTATTAATCCTTCAGTGTTACTCAGAGAAGATTCTCCGGTCATAGCTGACCCCTAGCCAGTGACCAGTGACACTAGAAGAATTAGAGTTGAGAGAAGGTTTCAGGAACTCCGATAACCACATCTAAAGAACCCTGATGGTGCTGTAGACGAAACCTTGTGGTGCTAACTCAGAAGTTGGTGACTTGAACACTCTCTGTGATCCACAGTGATGAGAAGTGATGATCAGGCATTGTGGGCATTGTAATTAAGGTTATAAAACAAAATATCTATCAGTAATTGATTGAAAGACCAATATAATTTGTAAACTTTTACTGACATGACTATAGAAAACCATGGTGGGGGGGAAATGGGAAGGGTATACTTGCTCTATACTGCAGTCTCTCACTTCTACAATAACATCATGTGCCACCAGGACTTCTTGTCTACTAGCCTCTTTTAAGCCTTTCCTCTTTCTCCTTGGGCTGTGGTCACCCCAGACTCACCATCCTGGCGAGAAGGAAATAGAGCATCTGGTCGGACAGGTAGAAGCCTGAGTAGCCGGGCATTGTCATGAGGGTCTTACAGAGCTTTGAGTAACTGCAGGGCTCGCTGTGTTTATTCCTGGGGAAAGAGACACCGGGTGGTTAAGGAGAGGAAATTCTAAGACTTTGAGGGCATGGTGCTGTCCCATTCCGACCTGAGCTTTCCTGGGGCATGATCCTTCCCTGATTAACCCACTACCACCTCCTGTTATCCAGCTGATTCCAGTTGATAATTACCATTTAGGTCAAAGAAGCACAGCTCCATAGGATTTCTAAGTTTTCAGTCCTTTTATAGAAAAAAGACTGCCTTATCTATAATCTGCTGAAGTTTATGGGTTTGAAATGCTGAACATTTGATTGGAATCAGAGTGCTTAACTGCTTTGCCTCCAGGGCTCTAGTCCTCAGGTGTGGCTTCCCTGTACCATGTGGCATAGATAGCAGTGACAGTTGGAATAAAGGGGTGTGTGTGTGTGTGTGTGTGTGTGTATGTGTGTAGATGCAGCATCTCCACAAGGACTTGACTTGAGAGTGAGCCTTGATGAACCAAAGGAGAGATCCCAAGAGAGAGGCGACCAGGTGGGACTGAGACGGGTAATGGCTTTGAGGATTTTCCTGAGAGCACAAGCCAGACTCTTTGGTTTGTTTTGGGGTGCTTAGTATTCTCTTTGCTTGTGTAATGTAGGCTGCTTTTACAATAGCTTTCCTAGTCCATTAGCTTTGATTTCCATCCCATGGTTGGGCGGGAATATACAAACCTGGTGTACAGACAACTCAGGATGCGATTGGCCAGTTTTGCCACCCTACCAGGTTTAAATGGAGTAATTTTGAGTGGCCGGAAATGGGGCTCTCATTGCCAACAAGAAAGAAGCGGCTGAGAATACAGAGCATGTCCTTCAGGGCCGTGGATGGCTGTGCCAGGCAGCCTGGGGCCCAGGTGACAGCAGCCCAGGAGCAGCAGCCATATCAGTGGAGAACCAGAGATTGATAAGGGAGAGAGATGACCTGAGACTGTTACCCTGGGGAGCCAGAGCCAGGGCCCTTCACCCAAGCTTGTTGGAGGATTTGGGGGTGGGGGGTGGGGGAGAAGCCTTAATTACGTTAAAACAGCCTTGTGACACTGGCCTAAAGGCTGAGAGACTGAAGGTTGAAGGGCCTGTGAGCAGCCTGAGGAACTGTCTTGTCTGAAGAATTGTGTCCTGTTGTTTCCAACCTGAATTGTAATCTTTTAACTTCGCTAAACAACTGTATGTATACACATGAGGATGGTTCTGTGAGTTCTCTGTGGCCATGGCAACCGATTAGCAGACCCATTGACAGTTGGGGTTAGGATTAGTGGGACTGGGTGCGGGAGTTTGAGGGTGATATTTGGCCTTTGGGAATTGGTTTTATGCCTGGCATGTTGTGGATAGGGACTGTTCCCCTTTGTGGAATTTGTGAAAGTCAGAAAAGACCATCCCCTAAATGAAATACTCTTTTTTTTTTTTTTATAGTTTTCTTGTTTGTGTATATTGTAAATAGCACTCTAGTTGGAAGTACTGTCTCCTTGGCAGAGATAGAAAGAGAGAACTCTATGGTCTCTGGAGGTTAGTGGGCTAGGCTGGATGTCATGGGGATGGGAATTTCAGATAGGATACAGGTTGGTGGATGCATTGGGAAGGGTCAGGATGGGTATGGCAAAGGGAGGTGCTGGCCACTCCTGAGGACTGAGCCTGATTTTACACAGAGCCCTCAATAATAGACTTGGGACCGTGTAGAACAACTGAGACCCACAGAGAGCATTGTGGGTTTTCAGGAAATGGGGCACGTTGGCTGAACCCACCTGGTTCCCAGCAGTTGTATTATGCACTGTTTGATGGAGTGCTTCAGCTCAGAGCTTGGAGACTTGACCTTGTGAAAGATCAGGGCAGGATTGGTATGGGTCCAGGTTTCAGGAAGCTTCCAGAACTCTGGCTGCAGGGTCTGATGAAAATCTGGCAAGAGCAGAGGCAAGGTAGGGAGAAGCAGGGGCAGCCACTCAGTGGTTGATATGCAATACTAAGAGAGATACTCAGCTTGGTATTAGGGACCAGGCCCACGAGGGACGACTGACTGGATGGGGCCAGTTGTGGCACTGTTGTTTGAGCCCCAAATGTGAAATGGCCAATCACTGCCCTCACTCTAGGCTTAGGGCAAAAGAACTGTGTGCCCCACTGTTCCTGATCCCATTCAGTGGCCAGATCAGAGCTCTCGACCGCTCCTTCCAGGTGACAGTTGGCTTTGAAACACTCAGAAAGCAATTGTAACGGTATACATACAGTTCATCCAGGATTTGATATGTGTGCCATCCAGTCTAACTCCCAGCCCTATGGGATACTCTATAACTCCTCCATAGAGTTCCCAAGCATGCTGTCTTTATGGAAGCAGGCAATGAGGCTTTTCCCCTGTGGACCTACATGTATGCTGTTATTACCCATAGCAGTGGCCATGAAGTACTTACAGAGCTTAAGACTTAGCAGCTAAGAGCAAAAAACATTGCTCGGATAGGGCTACTAGATATTAAAAAGGTTGTGTGACAGTTTGAGATCTAAGATTAGTAAATCTCTGTGGTTTGGGACTCCCTGAATAGCATCAACCATTAAAACATTCTCTTGTTAATTACCAAACCCAATGTGGTAGTCACTGCATCAGTACATTTTGTTGAGGGTCTTCCTTTCATCACTGACCCATTCCTTATCCCAGCATGGTGCAGAGATCATGAAGATAGGGCAGAATAGGGCCAGGTTAGGATCTGTTGTTCATAGGGTTGATATGAGTTCTAATGGACTTGACGACACCTACCACCACCACCACCACCACCACCATCATCATCATCACCATGACCACCACCACCGCTAACAGTAAAGCTGGAGGTTCCAGTTCACCCCAATGTGCCTCCACAGTTAGATCTGGCACCCTCCTCCCCCTAAAATGAACTGGCAATGTTTTGGAAAACAATGTTCCTCACTGTATATGGTGTTGACGTGAGAAGGGATTGACTTGATAGCAACTTTGGCCCCATTCCGACATGAAAGCAACATTAGGCATTACTATAACATGAGGCCTTTTATAGTCTGACTGGCAAAGACAAGAGAAATTCTGGGCATTGTAGGGACCAGGCAATAATGCTAGCAGGATGTTGGGGGCAGACTACTGGTTGAAGAGGAGGCCCTTAATCTTGAAGGTAGGCGGAATACACTAGGCAGTTGCTTCCTTCTCTCCAGCCTCTTTGACTGGATGGGAGAGGCCGTTTCATCTGGAATAATTAAACCTTTCTTGGACCTCCTTGGACTTCCAGGTGGTCCAGACCCTTCCCTGTGTCTGTGCAGACATATCTCCAGACCTCATGTTCTGGAAGGAGTTGGGCTTCCCTTGTGCAGTTACCTTTTATTTGAGCAGGTGCCCTCTGCTTCAGGTAAGGGATGGATTTGTCAAATAGGATGTCCACCCTCATGGATAGCCTTCCAGAGCGCTTACTCATTGGCTCCTCCTGGAAGTTCATTGCCCATATTTCCTGAACACCTTTGAGCTGCACTGGGAGAGAACACGAGTAGTTTTTTTTCTGCTGTGTGTGCAGAGAAATGATGTAATAAAGTATGGTACCACAGTGAATACAAACTTTAAAGCAAACTTTTTTTTTAAAGGGATAGTGCAGAAAAAAAAGTATGATACTTACTGTGTTAGGTTGAATTTAACCATCCAGGAAATACATGCCTACATCCTATACAGAACTTCTTGTGAATGTGACTACTAGGGATTAAATTCTGTCCCCAAAAATATGTGCTGTAATTTTACTGCTGTAGTAGTTAGGATCCCAATTGGGAATGTGGCTCCCCCGCAACCTCACCCCCATTGTGTTAATGAGTCTTCTTTTAAGATATGTCTTCATTAAATCACTTAAAAAAATTAGCCTGAGGATGAAGTTTACTGTCTTGACAAGATGAAGAAAATATTTTTAAATATTGCTTATGTGACTTCAGTGAAAGTTTACAAAGCATATTGTTTTTTCAATCACTCACTCTTGCATGCGTTGTTCCTACCACTATTTGTCATACTCATAGCATCTGATCATCAATTTTTCCCTTATTGTCTTTCCTTTCACCCATATTAATAAACTTAAATATTTATTAATGCCAATTAAATACTTTCTACTCTTCTTCCCTTTTCCTCCCTGTTAAACAATCCTAATGGAGTCTTTCGGCATTTAAACATTTAGCTCTTTATAATGGTTGTTGTTGTATGCCGTCCAGTCAGAACTGACCCGTAGCTGACCTTCCAGTGGGTTTTCAGAGGCATTAATCACACCAGAGGAGATTGCTTGTCCTTCTCCTGTAGAGCTCCTCCTGGTGGATTTGAACCATGTGACTTTGGGTTTACAGAACAGCTTCTTACCACTAGGCCACCTGAGCTCCCTTATAAAATATTTATCCTGATGTGACTGATTCATGTCCCTCAGCATAATGTCCTCCAGAATCATCTACGTTATGTAGTGTTTTGTGAATTCTTCACTGTTTTTCATTGTTGCACAGTACTCCTTTGTGTGACTGGACCATAGTTTGTCTACCCATTCAGTCATTGATAGTTACTTGATTTATTTCCAATTCTTTGCTATTTTGCTGTCAGTTGGAGTCATAAAAAGTTAGAATCAACTGAAAGATGGTGTGGCCATCTCTGTTGCCTCACCTCCTCACTACCCATGGCTGCGGGGTGAGGGTGAGGGAGAAAAAAGCAATATGTTTTCTCAGCACCTTAAGGTGTCTTTGGCTGGGAGCAGAGGAAACTGGATTTCGCATGCAATATTGAGGGTCTCCAGTCTTTTCCTTGGACCACCGTCATACCAGGGGAGTGCTGTCTCATAAATGCCATTGGAAGGACACATTCAATCACTTACTTTGATAGTAGTCTATCCAGAGGGGAAGCCCAATTGATTATACCCTAGGAAAAGAACAACTTCAGACTCTTCTCATGATACCTTGAAATCCTTCCTACATCTAAAAACTGCTAGCCTCAGGAATCACTGAGGAGCAAGACACCCTCTTCCCCATTCCTTATAGCCAGAGAAG